AGTCGTTAGGGCACTGTGAGGGGTTGCCTGGTTGGAAGTCTTATGATCTTGATTTTCTCGATCTCCTAACGTAAGTTGTTTTGGTTCATATTTTTTCTAGATATGAGCTTAACTATGATCAGGTACCCTGTCTGGGTTTACCATAGTCGTTGTTTTAATTCGGGTGTTTTTCTACTCTTGATTCTAAGTTCGTTCTGAAAATTCTCTTGATTGGTCCTGTACTGTTGCTGTGATCGAATTCGTTATGATTGATATTCCAAATTTTGTTTTCTTAGAATTCCTTGATTGAACCTCTTGATACGGATTTTCATAAATTTGTTTCTAATATCGAGGTCTTAATTCCTAAACTTTGTTTGCATGATTCATTAAAAAATCCTAAACTCGACATTCTCAAATTTGAAATTCGTATTCTGATTTTGTAGATGGAAATCCGTGATTTTTCTCAAATTTGAAATTCTTACTCTTGATCTTGTAGATGGAAATTCGTGATTTGCTTTCTATGATTGATGCGGACTAGGTTGAAAACTTTAGCTCTTAAAAAATTCCTCAAACAGTGAGTTCTCAAGTAATTGGTATTTATGTTGTTGTTCTTAGCGAGTCTCAGTCGGGGATGTTGTGGGATCCGGGTCAGAGGCCTTGGAATGGATTTCTCCTTTCCGGTTGGAGTTCCTCCCTGCGAGCGTTGCACAAGGTGGGTGGTGTGATCTGGGAGGGTATCGAGGGTTTGTCCTTTTCCGGGCCATGTTGATCTTCGGGTCGGATCAGCTGTGGCGGTTGGGGAGAGAGGACAAGGGGTGCTGTGTCAGCAGGGTGAAAGTTGAGAGGCTGTTCCACTTAAACCACCAGTACTTGGGCACTGCGCGCCGCACCGGCCGCCCAAATCTCGAAGCAGCGCGGGCTGTCGATTCGATTTATCGACGGCCCGCCGGCCACGGAAATCGCGTAGCGTTAAGGCTAAGGCGTCGCCCAAGTACTGGTGGTTTAAAGGGGGTGGGGCAGGAAGGAAGTGGGATCTACAGCTCCGGGGGGGCATACTTTAGGGGGGTACTGTATGCGACTGAGAAAGCAGGAGTGGTATTCTGGGGGCTGTTCTGAACTGGGGAAGGGAGGTGAGGGGGCGGCTTCCTGCGGAGGCAGTGAACGGACAGAGGGTTGTCTTTTGGGGGAGAGGAGTAATTCCTTTGATTCTTGTGACCCTTATATATGTAACTGAGACTTCGATAGGCGCTGGAGTTTCCATGGGGGGACGGGGTGTTTTTTTCCCCTCTCTCCCTCTCTCCCTGTGGGAATCTTGGGCGCGCAAATGCTCATGTGATTTTCAAGATTTTTTAGTTCCTGTTTTTCCTATTTGAAAAACTTCTTCCAAGGTTTGGATACGGAGGCTGGGGGTGTGGTGGTTGTGACGGCGTGAAATGACGTGCTCTGCGGCGAAGGGGCTAGCCTGTAGGGTTGAAATAGGGTACAGCAGCGGTGGAGATGATGGCTTCATCGTGGCAAGACTTGCCGGAGTAGGGCTCAGGGGGGATACCTGCAACCAGTGTATGAAGGAGATGAATGAGGAGATCTACTGCTATGGTGCTGATTGGTGGCTTGACTGGTATTTGCCATAGTCCTGAGACCCAGTGGCTTGCGAATAGACGAGGCCAGAACGACGCTGGTCGGTGCTGGGGCTTGGTCGCGCTGCCCTGTATCTCGAGCTGTACGAGGGCATGACACCTGGTACAGAGATCTGGGGGGTTGTCGAGGGTGGAAGGCACTCAGCTGTCTTCTGGTGAGCTGGTGCCTAGTCGATGCTGGGCGGAGCCGGGGCGGATCGCTTTGCCCTGTGGTCTAGCAGGTGGGGGGGTTCTGGGGTGGGTCGCGCCCCTCTGTGACCTAGCAGTTGGGGGCATGAGGCCGGGTAGAGATTGGGCGTTGGGATACAGGGTGAGACAGGAAGGTTGGGGCTGCTGAAAGGCCCCAGGCAGATGGTCTTTCTTTCAGAATGCTTCTTTGATCCAATCCTCGGGGGACACAGATTTTTAGTGTTCGTGTACATTGCATTGTTACTATTTGTAGCCACAGCCCGGTAAGGGCCCCGGTATCTTAAGGATCTTTCCATAAATTTCTCATAAATTTCTCATTTTCAATATGAAAAAAAGAGCCAAGGTTTGGTTGGTTGTTCATGGTTGCCAAGGGGGGACTCGAGAATGAATTAGGATTCTGGGGACCCCTAGCAACTCATAGTAGATGGCTCCATTGCTGACATACTCAGTGATCTGCAGCTGTTCGATGCCAGAACGACGCTGGCCGGTGCTGGGGTGTTGCCCTATAACCTGCTGATGCAGGAGTGTGAGGCCTGGTAGAGAGATCTGGGGATGCTTTGGGGTAGGCATTCCAAGGGACAACCAAGGGTTGCTGCTGGGACGACGCTGGTCGGAGCTGGGGTGAGTCTTGTTGCCCTGTAACCCAGCAGGGTGGGAGTGTGAGGCCTTCAAGAGCCCAGCAGGGAGTAAGACAGTGCTGGAGAGTTTTAGAAGGGTTGCTGGGGATCCGCAGGGTTTCGAGCATTTGAACGACCTCTGGGGTGGCATGTTTTGTTGTGGCCAGTATACCTTTTTTTCTGAAGTTTGTCGTAGTAGTTTTCTAAGTCGTGCAAAATTTTCTTAGCCAAAGCCGGGTAATGGCCCCGGTATCTCAAACTTCCAAAATTCTATGTAAATTTCCATACTGGACGCTGGCCCCAGTTCCCAGCACGTGCTGCTCCCCACGAATAGATTGGAGCCTTGTCTTTCTTTAAATAATAATAATAAATAATATATCCCCATGTGCCCTTGTTTGGTGTTCTTGTGCCTCGAGTCATCATGGCATGTTTGCTATTAGGGACACCTGGGTCGAATACCAAATAGTATGTCATGTCTCAATAGCCTGTAGGAATATCATCTTGTGAAATTTGACCCGTGTCTGTGTGTGCGTGTGTGTGTGTGTGTGTGTGTGTGTGTGTGTTTGTGTGTGTGTGTGTGTGTGTGTGTATTTATGTTTTGTCATGTTTGACACACGGGTGGCTGTGGGTGGGTGTGAGCATGTTGATTGGTGTGGGTACTTTTGTTTTGGATTTACACCACAACAGACCCTAATCAACTTCAGTTCTATTGCAGACGACGAGGCACATTTGAGATGAGACATTCCAACAATGAAACCGTAAATCCCTCCATACCAAGTAACACGGAACACAGTAGATCCGTAGTAATCCCTTTCTCAACTGTGTTTACTTTAGCTTTCTTTGGGGTACCCCTTTCATTTGTTCTTGCATCTCCTCTTTTACTATGCCTCTTACGTACCAGGCTGGCCATGTTAATTGTGGTTGAGCGCCAGCCGGCTACACCCCCGTATGGCTAACCAGCACAGTTGCATGTTATGAAAGGAGGCAGAGTAAAGGGGGAGGCAGGGAACAGGTATGATGCGGAGTTCTATGAGAGCGAGGGGCAGGAGAGAAAGGGGAGCGGAAGGACCGAAGGGAGATATGATTCACATGGTTCTTGATGACAGTCGTTCGTATACATCTGCTACTCGTACACAAGGAGCGGGAGGAAGGGAACGGGTGGGAGGCGATGTTCTGTAGGGAGTGAGAGGGGCAGGGGAGAGAAGAGGGGTAGGGGAGAAAGTGGAGAGGCAAAGGACACATCAGAGATATGATGAACTTTACAGGGTTCTAAATACTCACCGCTGTCCGTGTCCCTTGTGACTCAAGATGTGGGAGTGGGTGATACTGGGCAGGCAGGCTGGAAGCAGGGGGAGGACAAAGGAAGACAAAAAAAAAAAATCCCAGAAGAGAGAGGACAAAGGAAAGAGGGGACAAATCAGAAGTTGAGTGGACATGCAAACCTTGTGGTAGAGACCAAACAAAAAAAAACAAAAAAAAAGGAAAAAACCCACAGAGACGTTGCGAGGCAGAAAGGCAGCAGGAAAGAACTTTGAAAAAACTGAACGGTGAGGAGGAAGAGGATATGGTAGGCATAGTAGATGATCTCAAATGAAACAACAACTGTCCGGCAGGCGGGGCCGGTAGTGCACGCTTCTGATGACTTGTTTCATATAGTTGCCGACCGAAAAACAAAAAATGTTCGCTTTGCATCTTTCCACTCGATTCCAGAAACAGAAAAAAAAAAAAAAAAAAAAAAAAAAAACAGTCCACATGATTGCCCCATAAACCACTTCCACTCAACAGCTTCACAATCCCCCCCATCTCCAGGCACAAAAATCCAGCTACCAATGTTACTCGTTTCTCATTAAACTTCACCGAAACAGTCAGAAAGAAACCTTCCTCCACCATTACCACACATTTTTCTGACGCACAACAGGATCACACAATGGAATCTATTAACAACAAACAAAACACAAAATACAATGCGTATTCCCAGATCTTCATGAACTTCCAGAGGACGATCAGTGTAATCACTGTAACTCCGAAACAAATTCATTTTCTAAAACATGTAATAAACAGAACGGCAGTAACCGAGGCGCTACATGCCGACACACAAGGTCTGCCCAAACATACACAGATGCACACACACGCACGCACGCACGCACACACACACACACAC